GAGGGAGGGAGGGAGGGAGAGAGGGAGGGAGGGAGAGGGGGAGAGAGCGCGCGCAAGCGTTAACAACAAAAGAAATTTCTTCAACAGAACATTCTTGAGTTCAGATTTGTTTGTGGGTCTCCATAAACTACTTTGGATACTTGGAACTTGACAAAATGAAGCCACCATCTGAAGGACCCAGAACAGCCTAGCCGGAGCCCGTGAGGTCCACCTGTCCATCCTTACTACCACCCTAAGCGTGGCCGCTCTCCAGGAGCTGACGCCTGACATCTCAGCCCTCCTGATTCTGAGCAGGTCAGCCCAGTTGGCTTCAGTCTTTTCTGAAGCCTGCTATCTGCTAGTCACTGTTCTTTGGTGATGAGGATTCACAGCATCGGACAAAATGGACAGCACTTCTTGCCTCTGGGGTTGGAGGGTATAAATAAGACTCAAGATTTGTCAGATGCAAGCAGAGGTAGGAGACGGGCTGCTAGTCAGGATGTGCACGTGTGTAAGAGTGTGTGCACACACACACACTCATAAACAGGGTGGTCAGGGAAGAATGCATCACTGCAGAGTGACACCTGGAAAGCCCTGAAGAGCGAGCCCCGAGCCAGAAGAAGGGTCTGGAAAGCATCCAGAGGAAGCAGTAAGTTCACAATCTCCGAGGCAGGAGGTGACCCAGCACATCCACGGAAGAGCAAGAAGGCAAGGGGGCTGAAGCCCAAAAGAGCAGCGGGAAGGTCGACGGAGACACCCTGAGACGGGGGCCCAGCACGGGCAGGGCCTTACAGGCTACTATGAGGTCCTTCGGTCTCAGTCTGTGCTGCTAAATTAATGAGGCTATAGGTTTATCAAAGACACCAGACACCAGCTCTGTGTATCTATTTCCCCCATAATGTGTGTGAGGAACCAGATAGCTGTTTTCCTGTCAAGCCATCACGATTCCCAGAAAACATTCGTATCTGGCCATGTCTGTCTAACTGCGTGCCTGAGCGTGGCGGGAGGGGGAAGCCGGCTCTGGAGGCACGGCTTGGTCTCAGACACCAGAGGGGAGGGGACTGACCCCTCCCCTGGCCCGCTCCTCAGAGGTCCGGGCTGCAAGGAACACAGAGCAGACAGGCAGCATGTGCTCCCCTGGGCTGGTGCCGCTTCAGGTACCATGCTACTTTTCTCCTCGCCACCGCCCCATGAGGAGCAGCCATCGGCTCCATTTCACAGGTGAGGAGGGCGTGGAAACAGATCAGGTAAAGGGCGAAGGTCACCTCGCCATCTCACCCACGGAGACGCCACACCAGACTTGGACCTCCAAGGCCCGACACCACCCATTTTCAGTTGTGTCCCAGTTTTCCGACCTGACTGGCTCCTAAGGATGAGCTTGGGCCCCCAGGGCTGGCTTAGGAAGCGGCTCTGAGCCCCCACCCCACCAGGCACCCCTTTGTGTCCCAAACAGTCAGGCAAGCAGCTAGAACAGATGCTTCTAGATAAGAATTAGCCTCATTAGACCTTGTGAGGGTGAAACAGAACATTAAACACCCAACACAGGACTGCATTCATCAAAAGTCACAAATAGTTATTTAAGGCTCAGTTCAAAGTTAGTTAACAAGTCCAGCCTCACCCCAGATCCTGGAAGCAATTCGACAGACCGATCTCTGTGCCCCCAGAGTACCTTCTACCTTGAGCCCAAAGGCATTCTCACCTATGTCCCAGCACGTGGTAGGGGCTAGCAGATGGCAGGAAAATGATTTGAACCCCTGCATTATAATACAGGCTCCATCCTCAGCCAGGCAGCGGTGGCTGGTGATACACAGGCTGTGTGGGCCCTTCCTGCAAGGTTTCCCACCTGCAGGCTTGGAATCCTCTTACACACGTGCATGCGCATGCGCATGCACACACACACACACGCACGCACACACGCGCACACACACGCACGCGCGCGCGCACAAGCATGCATGCCCCTTGTGAAGGCCCCAGTGTATGCCAGACACTATTCTGGATGCTCAGCAAGACAACCCCTGCTCTGGAGTTCTTAGGCAGACCAGTAACCTGAAAGTTAAAAGCTATAAATGACATGTGTTCAAGATGAGACGGAAACAAAAATCTTCCAACAGTAATTTCATGTTGAACCTTTCCTTTAAGATAGAGATTCAGTGTAATGATAGGATCTCCAAGTGTCACTAAACCATCATTATAAGAAACATTAACTGTGTATGGAATGTACTGCTGGATTCTTTTCTAATTCAAGGTTATTTATTGCAAAACCCACTGATGCCTCCAAATACTTCTGCCATTTGAGAGCAATGAGAAATATTTTGGTAAGTGAAACGACCACATGTCAGCCCTCCCACAAAACATGGATACTTGACTGTCTGAACACTCAAAACTCTGCAGGAAAACGAAGGCAGCTGGCGAGGCCCTGTTCTGTCCTCCATGTGAACAGAAAGAGTGACACGCCACACTAAGTAAGACGCCTTGCCAGGAAGGCAGTATCGGCAAGGAAACCCAATTCTCAGCTGTGAAATCCTTGTAAGCCATGGGGCGGAGCATGCCAAGCCCACGTGGACAAGTGGCTGGCACCTGAATGGGCTTCGGGCTGGATTCTGCGTATGTACACCCATGAAGGGGGGCCAGGCACGAGGAACACAGAGGTGACCGACAGAGCTCTGCCTGTTACAGGGGCAGCAGTGGGTTAGCGTTGTGATGGGGTGGCGGGGGCACAGGCTGTGGGGGTGGAAGAGAGGGAAAAGAGCATTCTGGAAGGATAGCTGTCACACTCTGCTAGGTGATGTCCTACAAAGCTACAATGTGGCGATCCACAGCGCAGAGAAATTGTCCTGGGAATGAAGAAGGTACAATTCCTAGCTGGCCCCCAGTGGGCAGGAAAGGGTTTGTCATGTTATTTGAGCACCTGCGCAGCTCACCCACAACACTCAGCCGACACCCTCTGAGGTGGAGGAGGACCAAAAGGCCTCACTGTTCAAGTATCAAGTTCTTGGAACCCTAGAATTCATTGTGTTACACAGACCTACCGTGTGTATGCAATTCGGAGACAGGGCCGGCTATCAGAGGTGTATAGATGCGGCTTTGGGGAGGTGCTGTGACGTAGCAGAAAAAGTAGGCTGACCTGGACCGCTCACTACAGGTGTGTACTGGGTAAGGGGCTTTGGTGGCTTCCTTTCTGCTAAGGCATAAACCTGCTCCGGACACGGCAAAGGTGAAATAAAGCAACAAGTGCCTCTGGAATGTCCGCTTCTCAGGCGGGTCCTCAGCGAAGCCTGCCCTCTCCCAGTGCCCACCTTGTTTCTGAGCTGAGCTCTGCCTGCCGGTCAGCACCAAGCCAAGAGCCTAGATCACCGCAGAGTATCTACAAGTGTGGACTGGAATAAGTCATGAATGCAAGGCTTTCTGTGCTTAACACCACTTACATACTTACTAAGGATTTTCTGTGTGTCTAGCCCTGTGTGGGGTCTGCAGAGATAGATGACAAATGCCCTCTGTGGCCCTTATTCTAAGAAGCAGTCAAGCATTTCATCAAGAATCAGCTGACCCCTGCAGAGGCCTCATCAGAGCACAGCATCTGCACCAACATGTCACAGCATAAAGGTCTCAGCAGCGGAACCCTGGGGCCTCCTTTTCATTCAGACACCCTGCACTCTGCTGCACTTGTCATTTCGGACAAAAGTGACCCATGCTTTCCACTCCCAGGGGCATCATCAGCATGCTGACGCTATTTCTGGAGCCTGAGTGAAGGGCCCACCTCACGGGTTACGCGGCCTTACAACAAAATCCCTTGGAAAGGGATTCGTGGGAAAGCATGCAGGCTCTGAATACCACCTCTGCCACTTGGGCCACCACATGACCCCGGGAAAGTCGCTCTGCCTCTCTGAGCCTCCAAGGGGCTGCTGGGAAGCTTCAATGCGGTCACGTGTGAAAGCACTGGCATCACAGGAAGGGCTGCGCCCGCTCGGACTGTAACCACCTTCAGCCCAGGACAGAGCTTGTCACGCTGCCAGTCGTGACCCAGTCAGTCAGTCACTCAGAGTGGGTTGCCTCTTTTTGGAATAAGTAGAGAACAGAAAAGGCAACTTCAGAATGCTTTATACCGTTTTGTGAAACGTGTTTCAGTCCTATATACCTAACACGTTTCTGCACACACGGCCACAGTCACAACACAAGATTTATTTCCTTTTGCGAGTCAGGGGAAAGCGTCTGGAAGACACTGCTCCACAACAGCGTTTCCCAAACTGCACGTGGAGCCTGGAACCCTGAGAATCTCACTTGGAGGCACAAAACAGATAAGGAAGACGCTGAAGGCTCTGGTCCCGCCTGGCTCTTTCCTAACACCCTCCCCCCGTGGTCACGTGCTCCAGCCCCCATAATCTGCAGGGTCAGGGTTCAGTCACATTAACAGTGTGGGTGCAGCAAAGGGGTGCAGAGGGCATGAAAGAGCTGAGTTTTCACTGTGGCGAAACCACCATTTGTAAGGCAACGGGGCCCTTTGAGGCAGCCACTTCCACTTCGCACAGCCACACAGGCCAGCCCAGCATCCCACCCGCAGCCACTTCACGGCCTGATGTTGACTATTCCCCAGTGACACCAGGACTTGTGGCTTCAACTACCAGCTCCAACCTCCAAACCGTCGCTCCCTGCAAGAATTCAGCAAACTCACAACAGTCTCAAGGTCTGGGACAAAAGCAACAAACACCAAGAATCCAGGGCCCATTCCCAACAGTGCAGACGAGTCTGTTTAAGGACTGAGCCTCGTGTCGGGTGACATTCGGACGTTACCTTCTAAAAGTAAGCCTTTTGCCTCCTGAAGAAGGTGAGCAAAAAAAAAAACCAAAAAACAAAAGAAATCAAACCAGCTCTGGGTTCCCGGCAGCTTAGATTTACTATGCAAGGGAATGTCGGAGCCTGAACGGGCCTTTGCTTCTGTAGGGCTCCTTATGTAAGTCGAGGGGGGCTGGGGCGATCACCTTACAATGCCCCGCGAGGTTCAGCGGCGAGGTCTCCAGAGGAGGAAACAGGCCCGGGGAGGCTAACGGCCCTCACCAAGGCCACAGGCAAGTAACGAGAGGCCAGGGCTCAAACTGGCTCCGGAGCCACCCTTCCCACCAGTTCACTGAGAGACTGCGCACTTCGTTCCACAAAACTACTGCCAGCCTTCTCACCTGGCCCCTAAAACCAGTTTTCAGGGTGACATCCCACCCTTTCTTCAGGTGACCACATCCGCCTCTGTATGAAGACGTGCCCAGTCTACTGCTCTACCCCAGAACTCTCTGGAACCTCCTTTCTGTATGTCTACCCAAGATGTCCAAAGGCACCTCAAAATCCCCATGTCCCAAACCAGATCTATTAAGCATCCTGCCAAATCTGGACCCTCTGTGCTTCTGGTCTCAGCTGGTGGCACCAGCAACCCCTCGCCAGCTGGACACTCAAGAGCAGACCACGATTCTCTGCCTTTGCTTCCACAAAACACTCGTGGAGACCCACAGCTTCCCTCTCCCAAACGTCTCTCCACTTCTTACTCTCCACCAACCCCTGCAGCGTCAGCTCAAGCTCTCACCTCTTTCCCTTAATTTGTCTCTGCCTCCAAGCTCCCCTGCCTCTCGAGCAACATGAAATTCACTTCTGGATATAACCCACCTCCATCCCCTCCCCCAAGCAGAAGCCTTCAGTGTTCCCTGTGGCCCCGTCATCCTGCCCAAGCTCCCCAGCTTGACATCAAGACCCGCCAGGACCTTGCCTGCCACCGTCCGTCCTTTATTTATTCTCCGACACAACAAGCCGACTGCTAGAACCCTGCTAATTCTGCAACAGCCTCACCTCAGGCCTTGGCCCGGGCTCATGTGTCACCTGTTCTCTGTGACCCCTAAGCCTGGGCCCAGGGCCTCTGTCCTCCCTCCCGTGCTTCAGAGACAGCACTTGGCACAAGCTGGGTGGCTGACCATGGACACGTCTCTGTGTCTAGATAGCCGCTCCTACAGGCAAGCGCCGTGTCTGCTCACTGCCTGACCCTGGGTCCCAGGGCAGTGCCGGCCAGACCTGTGCTGAGTGACATCTCATTTAATGGAGGGGAAACACGCTCTGAAGACAAACAGGTCCCAGACACCGTTTCTCCCCAGGAAGGAGTTCAGAGGGACCAGTCAGAGTCACAGGCAGTAATAAAAAGAGAGCTAACAGCGCCAGCAGATGGCCGCAGTGCCAGGCCTCGGAAAGCAGAGGCAGCTCAAAGGCAGGGCAACTGGGGGAGAAGATGGGGGTGTCAGCTGAGCCCTGAAGGAAGCTGGCCACAAGCACAGTGGAAAATGGGCGGGGACATGTGAAAACATAAACACGCAGTCTTACCAATCAATTAGGTAGATATCTGGAGTTAAGTTGTTTTTCTTGAAATGAGCAAATAATTTCGGCAAATTTTCTTCAAAGAATACCTCAAATGCAGCAAAATAGGTCAACATCTGGGGAGGCAATGTGAAATACACAAATAAACTAATTATCACACAAGTTTGCAATCTACAAAACAATGTACTTACTACACCCTCAAGATCTAAAGCAGTGTCTCCTGTGCAGTTGCTAACACACTTTGGTAACTTGTCGCGAGGTATATAAGCAGTTTCTAACACAGGCGCACCTCGCTTTACTGTGCCCCACCACCACGCTTTGCAGGTATTGCTCTTTACAAACTGAAGGCTTGTGGCAACCCTGCATCAGCAAGTCAATCAGCGCCATTTTTCCAACAGGCACCGGCGATGGTCAGCTTTTTCTAGCAGGAAAGTACTTTTTAATGAAGGTATGTACATTGTTTTATAGACCCCGTGCCACTGCACACTTAACAGACTGCAATATAGTGTGAACGTAGGTTGTATGTGTACTGGGAAGCCAAAAATGTCATGGGACTCACTTGACTGCGAGACTCGCTTTACCGCGGCAGTCTGGACCTGAGCCGCATTCTCTGAGGACGCCTGTAAGCACACCTTCTAAACGTCACAAGAGCATCACTAGCTACATCTTCTTATTTCTTCAATTTATAGGTAAGAAAACTGAAACCCAGAGCAGTTACAGTGTGCCATGTGCGGTCACATCGTTAGTGTGTGGCTGCGACCTGAACCCATGCCTGGACCCTGCAAAGGCCCAGTCCTCATCGGCTCATTCCTTTCCGAGAACCAGGAATGAATTAAGTGTCTAACGTGGTCTGGAAAAGCACACGCGCTCACGCCCAACCCCCCGCATTCCCTGAGGAAATGTAACACCGTTATCTGAAGCAGGGCGGCAGCATGAAGGGAGGAAACACGAGGGAAAAGCAGGCTGTCACAACCTGCGCTGACCGGCACGTGCTTGTCAGCTTCTGACAGGGTTGGCAGGGAACGAAACGCACAGAGCAGGGGGCTGTGGGACAGAAAGCGCGGCTACCGGATTAGGGGCGAGGCACGCGGAGAGGCCGCCCAGTGCAGCTCCGCCGTGTGCCCGCCGGAGGCCTGCGGGCAGCTGGCAGCTGTCGAGTGTTGCCTGCTCATCTTACGGCAGATGGTGCGTACTATGGACCCACCTCCAGGGGCACGTGAGGGGCCTCCCAGGTAAACTACAGCCATCTTTGTGCATAAGGCTCGGCACAGAGGTGAAAATGAATCAATGAAACCCCTCCATTCATCCGCTGCTGCCTCTGTCAAATGAAGGAGCTGACCTTACGCGTCTCCTGTCCCATGTGGGAGCACGCTGTATGAAGCCCGGGGCAGTGGGAAGCAACGGGGTTCCGTTACACCATGTTCTATGCCACAGACCCATAGAGGGGCCTGCTCCTGACACAAGTGTGCATGTCTGGTAGGAGCACCCCTTCTGCATGTTTGGAGAATATATTTTCAGAAACCCTTTCTGAAAGAATGTATTCAGAAATTCATACATATGGCCATTAACTATGTGTTTTTAAAATTCAACACAATGTGCAAATAATCCTCCACCTTATACAGTGTGCCTTATTCTAAATATCACTTAGTAGAGGGAAGATGCATTTTTTTTCCTACAGAAAAGACACAGTGATCAGGCACCTCTTGCTGTGTGTAGACACAGTGCCGGGACACATATGCAGGGGATACTCACAAGGCCATGGTCCACTCGGAAAAACGCCATTTGACAGGGTTTATTCAAAAGATTAGAAAAAGCAATGAAGGCATCTGCAGTGTCTAAGTTCAAGATCAGCACTGCGGCGATAAAGGACATGCCCTGGACCTGAGGAAGGAGAGAAGGCGCGTCAGCCACAGCAGCCCACGCATCAGAGCCCAGCTCTGTCATTATATGAGAAGAGGAACCCACATGCCCTCGTGCTAGAAGGGCCCGCAGCCACCCACCCACCGCCGCCCACCACAAGTGGCACAGCCTCGGTTCTGACACGCTCTTCCTCGGAAACACTGCGCTGGTCTGCTCTCCTGCAGCCCGCTCCCCACGTCCACATGGGAAACCACCAACCAGCCCCTCGCGCATTTGCCATTTGAAACACTGCCCTCTAGAGTGGATGGTTTCCTGGTGCCATAGAAATGCATGTCTAATGGAACATGTTAAGTCTGTTAGCATGCATACACACATCTACTAAGCCGCAGACATCGGCAGCAGTTTCAAAATGCTTACTGCTAAAGGCTCTTTGCATTTGATGCTGAAAAAAAAACCCACATGCAAAAAATGAAAATCAAATCCAATTAAAATGTGATGACAGCCACAGAGCAGCCGAGCCTGCCCAGTTTCTTTACAAGGAAACGCAACAGGCTTCTCACATTCAACAAAAAAATGAGGGCATTCAACTTGACATCTGCAGCTGAGATGTGCTGGGCAATAGCCTGGGACTTCCTTTACAGGTGGTAATATTATAAAATATTGAACAAGTTCACTTACATAGCCCACATCCGGTCGGTAACAAGTGTACGCGCCCAAAATACTGTGCAGCATGTCATGGTACGGGCCGCCCTGAAAGGACCAACACAGCGAACAACACATGCAGAGGTCTGGTTAGTGCTCAAGGTAGGACTGCCGCCGCCGCCGTCACGTGCAGTCACACTGCTGTTTACAGAGGGGGAAGTCGTTGCCAAGCGCGATGCTAGCAGCTCCACTATCATGTAATTAACACATGAGCTACAGATCCAGTTAGCAAGAGAGTCCGTGGCTCGGCTACCAAGCTGCTCTGAGAAAAGCAGGTGAGTCAGGTGTAGCACCTCACTAGAAAACTGTCCTCTGAACTTGCCTCCTGCTGTGTACTTGCGTTCCCCTTCTGAGTTCGCCAGGTGACCAGGTTCCCCAGGGTTCTCCAGAGCAGGTGAGTGCTAACTGCAGTCCTCACTCTGCCTCCAGGCGGGGCCCCTCCCCGGAGCCCCCTGCCTATGGCTGTCTTTGTTTCTTCTGTTTTTCCATACAGCAAGTTTAGGAAACACTCTCTAAATCTTAAGTCCTAATAGCCTCCTTTTTATTCCAAACATTCTCCCAGCTCTCCCATCCCTCCAAGATTTCCATTCGTTGCTGTAACTCCTCCTAAAAACGAAAGTGTTGCAATTTCTGTGTTCTAATTGCGCACAGAATCGCTTCACGCTGATGTCAGCATGTGAGGACTGACCCGGTCCAGACAGCACACTGACTTCTTCCGTGTAGCCACAGTTAACACAAGGAACACAAAGTGTACACGGCGTGTGACTAGGAAGTCACTCCCTATGTGGCTTTCAAAAGAATGCCATGGCCCAAACCATCACATTCGGACATATAAAAGAAGAGACACTTGCAGAACAAAGAGGGACAAGAGAAGAAAACAGCAATGGGAGGGTAACAAAGAAGGCTAGAGGGAAAGAGAAGGGGACAGGGAGGGGTCTCGGTGGCAGCACCAAATGCCCACCTGAGGACTGGTGTCCTCACCAACTGTCACCACGTTATATCTGGTCCAAAGCCAAATGGAAAATACAAGAGCGCTACACTGAACTTTTCTAAAGCTAAATGTTTTTAACTTCGTGATTATATCCTTCTCACTTTGTTGCTAAATGTCCTTTCTTTGATGAAAATATGCTAATAGACGGCGGTTCCTCATTTTAAACGCCCTTAGCTTGTTCTGGACATTGCATTGTTTCCCCGTCCCCTCACCCCACCCTTTATTTTTTTAATATTGCCCTTTTATAAAATCTAGACTTTGGGGAACCACAGACTGAGAGAGACACACCCAAAGGAAGCCACAGGGAAGAGAGAAGCCACTTGTCCCTAACCTCGCCCCAGAAGAGACCTCTAAAGCGCCTCCTCCTGCTCTTCCTGCACCAAGATCACCACCCAGTGATTCTCAAGCCAATGGAGCTGAGTCCCCAAGAGACGCGCCACGGAGAACGCCTGCGTCCCAGGTGTGGGAAAGGCTGGACCTCGGCTGGCGGCAGCACCCTGGGGACCCTGTCCCCGGCACTCTGCCCGCCCTTCTCGGCCACACTCCGTGTGTCTCCAAGCTCTGCCCTCCGCTCTTTCTCCAGAGCAGGGACTGCCTGGCAGCTGGCTCCTGCTCAGAGTAGCCAGTAGTTAGTAAGTAGGGTCCATGGAATTGAACTGCACCCCCTCTGTTCGTTCCTCCAGCGAGGGTCTCTCTCCCAAAAGAAAGTGGGGATTCCTCAGCCCATCAGCTGTCTGATGTTCCCATTCTCTGGAATGTATTTCCACTCCTGGTCAGGCTGTCATTCAAACCTAGTCCAAGTGGAGGCTAAGAGCCGCTTCCCCTGTGACACCGTTCCTGACCCCTCCCCACCGCTGTAGCACCAGGAGAGTGAACCTTTGCTTCTCGGCGCCGCTATCAAGAGTGCCAGGGACACACCACATTCTAGCAATGTTCATGTGTCAAACCTCTGCATCTCCCGGCCACTTAACTGATCTGCTCTGATGTACCCCACTATCCTTTCCTGGTTACCCAGCATTGCAAGGTCTGGTGCCAGAAACATGGGTGTGACAGCATTAGCCTGGGGAATCCCAGGTTACTGTGGGGGCAGCGAGGCAGCTGGACAGAGGGGTTGGAAGCCAAGAGATGCGTGGAGGCAGGTGCAGTGACCCACAAACGATGAGGGTCTGACTAAGTAAAGGAAGTGAAAACAGAGAAGGGACAGGCTCAGAGACACCTCAGAAGCAGAACTGGCAGAAACCATTCAACACTGGACAAGGGAGGGCTCAAACAAGACCCCAGGTAAATGTGTGCTGGGTGAAAGAGAAGGTCTTCAGACACCTGTACTCCCATGACTCCACAGCCCGCTGCTGATGGCCCCGGGCCCTGCCTTCCAGAACTGGAGGCCCATGGGGAAACGCCACTTTTCTCTTTACTGCCATCCAAAAGACAACCTTCCACCCACCGCTTCAGGGCCCAGCGGTATCACCATTCTCTGGTCTACCTGCTCAGAAACCCCACCCTCACTGCACCCCAAGTCTGTCAAGGCTCTCCCTTTCTGCCCCAGGCTGGAGCACGCTGAGAGCATGTCTGTGTGTCATCCTAAAAACAGAGGCAGCGCCTAGGATGCACAGACAGATGCAGCAGCACACGGGGCCTTCTGGGCCAGTCCTACAGGGGCTTCTGACACATATGTTTCAAAGGAAGGAAAAAACCGTCTTCAAAAGCAGAAATATGGCCACATTAAATATTTGTTTGAAAGCATCCGTTACCCTTATTTTTAAAAGTCTAAGTGTATTAACTGCCCTCCCCCTGCACCCCCCAAAAACCGCAAGTACATTTCAAACTTGATTATAAATATACGCAATTTGACATCTATGAATTATAAACATACTTATAAACCACAAATCGCCATCACCTACTTGCTGGAAAATGCAGAGATTAGGGAATGTTCTAGAAATGTCCAGTTTAATAAGCTCCAGGCTGGCTTCTCTGTCTGCTGCTGAAAAACCGGCATCTACGAAAAAAATCAAGAGTCGTTACACCTCTCAGAGGGAGTACGTGGCGGAATTCCAGGGCTTTGATGTTTTGTGGGAATGAAACAAGGAAAGGACATTCTCAGAAGTACATGAACCTGATTACAACTGAAAGCACAGGGCCCAGCTACAGAGTTTGTAACAGTCTGTCGAGTTTCTTACTTCAACTGCAAAAATCTCACAGCACCACCTAAGGCTAGATCATCATCAGATATCATCTAGAGTCCACATTTGGTATTGCCTTCCGTCAACAAAGGAAGCAATAGGACAAGTAAGGGGATCTACACAGATGAATGCTAGGCCCAGAACACAGCAGAGAATCATCACTGGATCTAAAACATCACTGGTACACGCTTAAGACGACATGGGCATTGTGGCAGCGTCACATTCGTGTACTGTTTCCAACAAGTATGTACAAATAACTTCGTTGATTTTTTTGAATTCTCATACCACGCAGATGGTATAGAAAAAGATCAGTAAAAAACATACTACTTCACCAGTGGAAGTACCATTCTTGTGTGGAATCTAGCAAACACGCAGTGTTCCCGTCTCCTTGGAAGTAGTTCCGATGCTCCCCGAAGCCAGCGCTCCTGGAACCCTGGGTGCCAGGCGATGGTATGCACCGCGTGCGTGTGGATACAGGGAGCGGGGGTGATTTCCACCAGCTCTCCAGCATGTGCAGAACACAAACGCCTCACAGGACCTGCCATGGTCTCTTTCTTATGAAAGTGTTTTTCTTTAACCTGCTTGCTCTAAAAAACTCCCTTTTCCAGGAAGCCTTTTGTTGACGTGCACCAAGCACTTCTTCGGTTAAGTAAACTCCCACTGGCCGAGCAGCCCCAGGCTTCAGACATACCTTCATTCTCCACTTCAGAGCCTCCCATGCTGAAGGACCGCCACCTCTCCTTGGCTCGGGCCAGGCAGATGTCAAAGAGCTCTGGAAGAAGAGCCCCTGGGTAAGTCTAACGTCACGTGTGAGCATGTCCTCTCCAGCCACCTTCTCTGAATAGTTCAACTTCCACTCCAGACCGCACACTTGCTAAGGACGCTTCTATAATCCCCCACTTGCCCTGAAGGAACGTCTAGTGTCATCACAGACATCACCAGATACAAAGAAAGGACACAAAACACCACCACGCCTGGTAGCTACTCCTATTACACGGCCCACCCGTAGTGCTGTTGTGTTCTGATTTGCTTGTGAGTGTGTTGCCTCTACCAGCCTGTGAGCTCCTTGGGGTAAGCCCATGAGGGTCCCTCGGTCACATCTGCACTCAGAGCAAAGGGCACTGGAACATACACAGACCCGCACAAGCGATGAACTGAGTGATGAAGGGCAGGAGAGACAAGCGGAAAGCCCGCCCACCTGGCTTCAAACACAGACAAGGGGGCCGGCCTCCCCATGGCACAGCCCTCCCAACATGGCTGCCTGAAGCAGGTAGGGGTGCAAGCAACAGGCAGAGGTTTCAAAGAAGGATGGTCGTGGCAGAGAGGACTCAAGACAGGTCTCCTACAGACGCCTCCAACCCCCCGCCACACACTTCCCAGTCCCCACAGCCTGGATCACTAACGATCGCTACCCAGAGAATTTTTATCACTTTATTTTCTCCATCACTATTTTTGGGAAATAGAGCAGAGCACATCTGCTTTCCGGGCAGTGCATGTTATTTTATTAAAACAAAACTAAATTCTAATAGTATTATTGTGCTCCAACAAGTCAAATACTGATTAATGGCCTTTTTCTAGCCTTGTGAAGGACCTGACTTACCATCCATGCTAGTCTGCCAGGGCAGAGGAGGGTACAATTATGAAATTAACTTTATCTTTCCGTTACCCGGAAGGCAGCATGTACCTTAACTCAAATGCTGACATGCACTGAGCTGGAGGCTAGAGGATTTGGGGAACCTCTGCCCCTCTCAGGCTCCTGGAGCTGGGCTCAGCTTTGATCATTTTGGGAGGAGATGGAGGAAAACAGCTGTGTGGCCCCTGACCACTGGGAACCACTTCCCAAATGAGGAATTTGACAGGTAAAGCACTGATGCTGGCAGCCTCAGGGCAATGCTGGCATTCAGTGTGAGGGTTCTGAAGTATCTCTGTGGCTTTACTGGTGTGTTTTTGAGGAGGGAAGCCGGGGAAGAGATGTTAGAACAGCAAATGCACCTTCTTCCCAGACCCAATTTCAAAACACAAAGCTAACTGCCCTAAGAGTGAAATTCTAATAGTACTATTAGGTTGACTTTCAGCAAGTTCCCAATTGCACAACCACAAAAATCTGGGGTTTCCCAAATTGGACCATGGGCTTCAGTCAGCTAGGGCGAGCATGACAAGCCTGGCTCCATCCCACACCAGCCACAAGGCTGGGGCAGTCCCTAACCTTCTGTTCAGGGTGCTCAACTGTCTCAGCAGGAAAGTAAGGTCAACAACACCTGTTGTCAATATCAGGTAAGGCCTGTAAGTAAAGAACCTAATACGATGCCTGGCCTCAACGGCCAGCATTCACGGTCATCTGTGTTCTCAGACTGGCATCAATATGCAGTAAAACTGAGATGAAGTAGGACCCAAAAAAGGTGGCATTCATTCATTCATTCATTCATTCATTCATTCATTCATTCACACTTCCTGACGGCTTGCCATGTGCAGAGAGCTGTGCTAGGACTGGTGACAGAGGAGAGAGTATAACAGGTTGAGGCCTCAGCTTCCCAAGCACCAATTCTAGTGCAGGCAGCTAATCATACCAGAAAGACACAATTCAAATAAAATGAGCCAATATCAAGATTCAGACAAACTTTCAAGATATGTAAGTGGTTAATTAGCTGTTTGGCCCAATCTACTACGATATGGTCTGTACAAGATTTTAATTTAAATAAAACCAACCCAGGCATCAGTGAGAAGCAAAAGTTACACACACATGCACACGCACACGCACACACACTGCATGACATTCAACTGGCTTAGACAGAGTTGTTGATAGTTTAGAAAGTTTTCAAGAACAAAGACTGAAATAATTGCTCAGCAATTTCTCCAAACCTCTACTTCCGGGGATGCTTGTTAAAAACTATGTATTTCCACAAGTCAAATGTTACACATCTTCTCACATTAAGATGTTCGAGTTTGGGCAGGTTAGGGTTAGCCAAACATGGAGGTGTGAGTAGGTTGCTCTGCACAGAAGACAGCTGCCACCCACCAGCCAGCTGGCATCGTTCCAGGCACAGAGCCCTGAGTGGCCAAAGCTGCACTAGCAGGACAAATGAGAGTCTGACGGGAGAAACAGTAACAACATAAACTCCAGCTACAGAGAGAAGACACAAGTCAATCTGCTTTCAACTCAAAGGCCTTCTATAGGGTAAAGTGCCACCACCAACTCCACAAGCATTTACTGGGCATGAGTAACAAAGACGACGAGAAAGGAGCTCCTGTCTGCTGCAGCTTAGCCTGCGGACAGGAAGACAAAAGGAGAAAGTAACATCTATCAGGCATTCAGCACTGGGTTCCAAGTCAGAGGCCTGGAGTGGATTTCACCCAAAGCGCAGTGCTGGGCACAGATAGAGAGAGTGCGAGAACCCAGCCAGTGGAGGCGACGCACACAGACTGGGTGAATGCACGCAGCCCAACAGTGAGTATGGAGCTCCCCTCAGCTTCTAGACTTAGCTACTAGAACCTCGAGCACCCCGTCCAAGTGTCATGTTGTCTCTCTCAGGTGCTTATGTATAAGCTGCCTGGGGAAAAAATGCCACAATCAACAGCACCCCAAATACGATACGTACCTCCACAGAAAAAAACGCACCTCCCTTCCATTTTCTTGTCCCAATCAAGCTTTGCTTTCTACAGGGCTTTGAGAAGAGACCCTAACATGACTCCGCCCACTGATGCTATGCTGATGATGTCACAGCTGTAGGGGCTACCACATCTCTTCAGAGAAGATGATAAGTATCAGGAAGAGGGCAGGCGTCTTCTCTGAACTACCAGATACTGAAGCACCTGGGAGTGAACCCAGGCTGCCCAACAGTCTCTTCCCCCCAGAGAACAGCCACCTGGCCTCTCAAAAGACGCAGCTTCATGGCAATGGCTGCCTTTCTTCCTAACAGGGCAGACAGACAGAAGCCACCGACCCAGGGGATGGGCTCCTCGAGCCTAGAATCATGCAAGTCACTCACCGTGGGTGATGTTTAACTCGTTGCCAATGGCTAGGCCCCAAACTTTGCCTCTCACGCTGGGAGGGATTCCCTGCCACCATAAATCTCGAACTTTTCTCGAGCACCACCTGGATGGAAAAGGAAGCGTGAGTTTACAGGTTTGTTCTCAGCAAAGAACTCTCTCTCTGCCGAAGTGCCCAGCCCCAAACCACAGGAGCAGGGGGGTACAGTCGTGTGTCACAGCCCCCGCCCTTGGGGAGCTCACAGCCCAGTGTTCCATAGAGATCAGATCAACGACCACCTCCACTGGGCACCTACTGCGACAGGTCCGCCAAGGGCACTGCACAAGCAGGGAGGGCACGGGGCACTGTCCTGGAGCAGCATCCTCAGTAACCAGCAGCAATTTAAGCAGGTGAAGGATTGAAAGGACTTTCTGAGCAGAAAGCACGCAACAAGAAATAAACTTGCGGGCCGGCCGAGTGGCTCAGTTGGTTAAGAGTTAGCTTAAGAGCACAAGCTCTGAGCAACAGGACTGCTGGTTCGATTCCCACATGGGCCAGTGACGCTCTCAGCTGGTGAGAGGACGTGCTCCTAACAACAAAGTTGCCTGTTCGATGGTGGGCTACACCAACCCACAACTAAGACTGAACTCAGCACCTCGAGCTGAGCTGCCACCCGGATGGCTCAGTGAATAGAGCATGCGCTCTTAACAACAAGGCTGCCGGTTCGACTCCTGCATGGGATGGTGGCTATGCCCACCCGCAATTAAGATTGTAACACAGAACCTTGAGCTTAGAGACCCCGAGCTGCCGACGGGCAGCCAGATGGCAACTGGTGCCCTCCACAACTAAGATTGAAGAACAACAACTTGGCTAGTCCCCCTCCCCCAATTCCCCAATTTAAAAAAAAAAAAGAAAGAAACTTGCTGCGACGGGAACCTGGCACCAGCTGGACAGGAAGCGAAGGTGCCAGGGGGCACTGCAGCAGAGCGGTGGGTGGAGGACAGATCCAAAGGGGGAGCCCTGTGAGCAGAGCAGCCAGCCACCGCACGCCTACACACAGGTGGCGCACTCGGGGGTGAGCTGCCGAACTGCTAAATCAGAACACGCTGAATACATGAAGTCGCTGAGGGCTGCTGCTTATGACACCACTGCCAACAGACCCAGACAAAGGTGCCAGGTTCCCCTGGTGCTTCTCCGCGCAGCGCAGTGGGGAGAGCATGGGCTGAGACAGCAGAACCAGGTCTGCACCCCAATTCCATGCTCCCCTGTGGGACATGGAGCAGTTACTCCAACATCCAGAAAATGAAGCCTCCCCGCAGAAGGGCCATCGTGAAGATTACACGGGATAAAGCAGACACACCCAGCACGTGCCCAGCACCTACACGGCAGCTGCTGTGCAAGTGCATGCACCTGGACCACATCCAGCATCAGCGTGGCGGCTGGACCAGGGCTGGCTTCTGCAGCCACCAGACCAGCGAGACGGCCCAAGGTTCTGAGGCCCTCAACTCTTGTTACTGGGTCCCACATGAGAACGAGTGTTTCCTGACTGCGTCCAGCCTATTAATGACACTGCCTAGAAAAGCAGGCTCTAGGAATACCTCGTTTCCCTAGTGGAGATTTTCACCAGGACCTGTCATAAGAGTGAGTGACATCCAGGTAAGTGCCAGGAGTGAGTCCCCAACATCCCGACATATGGTTTAGGTTAAAAGGGACAGTAAGGGAACCTGGCATCCAAGCTTCCTGGCAGCTCCTGCTTTTGGGGAGAGGCCCAAAATGAGCCACCAGCCTCTGTCCTGGGGCTGCTGTGCACACACTGCCCCAACCCATCCTGAACACTCAGGAAGAAAAGATCCACAGCTGTCCCTTGGGCGTAAAGATGACAGCAGCTGCCAGACTCTGCTGGGTACTGACCACAGGGTGTTGTCATCTAAGACCCGGGCCCCATTGTCAGACAGAGGACAACAGAAGCAGTGAACCCAGGGGTTTTCTGCAGTCCCCCGGGCAGGAACGTCTTCCTCAAGGAAGACTGAGCTTTCAAGAACAAAGAGCTAGCTGGATGAGGAGTGACTGGGCAGGAGCACTGCAGGCAGAGGGACTGGAACATGCAAAGGCCCTGAGGCTCGCTACCAAGAGGGCTTTGTCCAACTGAAGGAGAGATAAAAGGTGAGGCAACAGAGAAAGGGAGAGATTCCAATTTTACATAGTAAAAGAAAGTTGCTGAAATTTTAAGTAGGCAAGTGACCCAGACTTGGGTTTTAGAAGATGCCTCCGGCTGCTGAGTAGATGAACTGGAAGGAGGGCAGGGGGGCTTGTCACAGGATCCAGGCAAGGAACGAGGCCTGAACCAAGGCAGGGGAAGGGAGACTCTGCGTCACTTAAACCTATTAGGACATCTCACTGTAGGCTGTGGTATGAGCTGTGATTATGTAGCTGCTACCTACAGGTGCCAGAAGAAGTGGGTTACAGTCTAGGGGCACCCACTGCCATAGCTTACATCGTCTCCCAGTTCGGCAAAATCTCATTGTTCCAAGTGAGGACAGCGTTTCCGATGCTTTCTTCTAACCGGCATCTCTCTTCCAGCTGCTTTTTCCTCCGCTGGGCTTCTTTCAGCTCTAGAAATCACAATTGAAAATAAGGAGAGAAGTAAACGTCTGCTAACTGACATCCACCATTTTCAAGCGAGGTGATTTTTCTCAGAGTCATGCTGCAAAACCCCCAAGACGATGGCCCTGAATGGGGAGCAGCGAGACCGTCCCCCGACCCCAGGGCTCGTTTCATGCCCTACGGCGTTTAGAATGCTCAGGCGGTATCCATCTTTTAGTAAGCTTTAAAGTATGACATACATACAGAAAGGAATACAAATAAAACATATCAACTATCACGAAACAGACCAACCCAGGAAACTACCACCTCAACCAAAACACAGAAGGCAACCCGAACACCAGAGGCCCCTTGCATGCCCCCTGCTCCGTCCCCTCCGACTATAACCTCTGACCTCATGTCTCACAGCTTAAGCACAACTCTTAGTGTATAAATAGCAACTCTGAGAAATACCACACATTTAATTTACATATGATTTTGTGTTTTATTGTGGTAAAATATACATAATATAAAATTTACCTTTTTAACCCTTTTTAAGTGTCCAGTTCAGCGACACTAAGCACTCACATTGTTGTGCAACCACCACCACCATCTCCAGAACTTTCTCATCTTCATAAACTAAACCTCTGTCCCCATGAAACACTAGCTCCCCCGTACCCACCCCCCGCCCCAGGCCCGCACCCTTGTGGCTCTGTCTCTATGATTTTGACTACTCCGAGGACCTCGCAGAGGTGGAGTCACACACGATTCGGTGTTCTGTGTCTGGCTTCTATCACTGAGCATGCCATCCTCAAGGTTCCTCCATGTTGTACAGCATGTTCCAGAATGTCCTTCCTTCTTCAGGCTGAATAATATTCCTTTGTGTTACAGACCACATTATGTTCATTACATATACTTTTGAAACATCCTAGAGCCACAGGGTTTTAGGTGCTACAAGGGATTTTATCAACTCCCATGACATCGGTGTGAGCAAGGACCACAGCCCAGACGAGGGCGAGACCCACCGGTCACTGCTGGCTGAGCCCTTCTCCATTCCAGGACTGTCCTCCAACAGCCTCTTTTCTGCTGTCAAGTCAAAGCGTTATCACCTTGACTAAAGTACCAGGCATGGCAAGTGAGCACACGCACACGTTTCTGATGGAAAAGTACCAATTTCAAAATATTAAAGCATTCAACAAAGTTCAGGTTCTAGTGCTCCAGATGGTAAAAAGAAAATATCCAGACAGGCACAAAATCTTGTGTTGCCTTACATAAGCAGACACGTGTGAATTCCATTACCTCTTTTTTTGGCCTGAACCACCATTTCTTCATACTGCTGTCTGTGCTTCTGAGCTTCTTCCACTGGCTTCGCCGGGAGATTTCTTGATAGAAAATAAACGATTTTGCACCATTATAAATATCAAATAAAATTTTTTGAGAAAGAAAACTTGAAGTATTATTTTCAAAAAAACGAAAAGCTCAAAGACCAAAAACTAAATACGTTAAGACGACAAAGACAGCTCTTTCATAGAAATATTTTGTTACCAAAGTAAAATAAGCTCATTGTTAAAAAATTTGAAGTATAACAATACCCATAATTCTAATAGAGATAAACATTTAATCTTTCAGTGTTTTTCACCCCAATCTCCAAAGAAAGTTTGATTTGACCACAATGCACTGATTAGTGTCGACATCTACCCTTGAAGGATAGCATATATTACATATGTGTATTACATGTGCATATTACATACACATATTACATATGTGTATGAAGACATTCCCTGGCCGGTTTTTTAGGTGTGCGAGTTTCATGTCAGCTATGTGGGCCATCTGCTTGTTTTTTATATACAAATGTACACCATAGTTCTCAGCAACTTCAAATCCTGTTTAAAAAATAAAATGCATGCTCTCTTTTAGAAATGTGCTGGTGCATGTGCCGGCACTTGACCACTGGGAGGACGGCAAGGTCTGGCTGCTCGTGCTCCTCACACAGTGCCACCCACACCCCTGGGATGTTCGGAACGCCTATCATTCATTTCCTGTGGGAGAACACGGCACCGTTTCGCACAGTTCACATTTCAGAGAGCATTGTAAGGACTCGTCCTCACAGGGACTGGCTTTTACCAAGTCTCCATCTACCTTCTTAATCCTCAATTTCAGAGGTTCTCTCCCCATCTACCCACAGAGCCACAATTTCCAAGGACCAAGAATTAACAGTACAAGACATGCTTCTTCTTTAGATTTCACCAATTTGAAATTTCAGGGTTGGCAGGAACCTTAGGAATTCTAGCCCTATATTTCACAATCTTCTATTTTTTAAGCAGTAGAATCTTTCTAATAAAACAAAATGCTCTATGGAAACTCAATATTTCAAAAGAGATACAAGGTGTGATCAAACAACACGATGAAGGTTTAAATTAAAAAAAATTTATTTAAATGTAAAAGACATTAATCCGCCTCAAAATACTCCCCCTCGCTTCAAACACACTTACCCCATTGTTCTTGCCACTTTCTGAAGCAGTTCTGGAAGTCCTCTTTCGTGAGTGTCTTTACTTGCGCTGTTGTGGTTGCCCTGATGTCCTGAATCATTTTGATTTTGGGAAAGAGCCAGAGGTCACACGGTGTCAGATCTGGTGAATGAGGTGGATGAGGACACTCTGTAATGTTTTTATTTGACAGGAATTGCCATATGCCAGAAGCGATGTGTGACACGAAGCCCTTCTGTTGTGATCACAAAATATGGTAACTACTGCTACCGAGTGCCATCCAATGGAAAGGCAGGATCTTCAATATGGGAAGCAGCACCTCGAACCTTAGTAACACTGTGTGACAAGTTTCAACTTGTTCGGTGCAGTCAGTCAGGTGTGAGCTATGGTTGAGAGAAGGTGTGTTTTAAACTGTGCCGTAAATCATCTTCCATCCTGACAACGCTCTGTATCACACATCGCTTCTGGTATACAGCAATTTCTGTCAAATAAAAACATTACAGTGTGTCCTCATCCACCTTATTCACCAGATCTGGCATCATGTGACTTCTGTCTCTTCCCCAAAGTCAAAATGATTCAAGACATCGAAGCAGCCACGACAGCACAACTAAAGACACTCATGAAAGAGGACTCGCAGAACTGCCTCAGAAAGTGGCAGGAACAATGGGGTAAGTGTGTTTAAAACAAGGGGGAGTATTTTGAGGGGGATTAATGGCAATGTGTTTTTTACTGTAATAATTTTTTTTATTTAAATATTCATCGTATTGTTTGATCACATCTCGTGAGGTCTCCAAACACAAACCCATCATCAAAACCAATCTCCTCATCACACAGATGGAAAGCGGAGGAGGGACTTGCTAAGACCCTGTTTCCTGCAGCCCCGATAACCCAGCAGGCGAGTGCAGGCACCGCTCGGCACTACCAGCGTGCCCCCTCCATACCCACGTCAGTTACAGGCCAGTCTATAGTTTAGAATAGCTATTTAAGTATTTTTAAATGCTACATTAAAATGAAAATTTCCTGAATGGAAAATCCTGGCAAAACTTCTATGTTAAAGGCCAGGTTTCCAAGTTAGCCATCTACTCTCATCGCAGAGCCCGCATTCATTCATTCAGGGAGTAAGGAAGGCCCAGCGTCTGCAGTGAGGCACGCTTTCCCTTCTCCTCCTGTGGCCCCGGTCTTTCTTCATGAGAAGGTGATCAGCACGCTGTCCTCATCTACTACAGCGAACACTTGACAGACTCTTGTCAGGACTCACGCTGGTCTGTCCTCCAGGATGAGCGCGGTGGTGGAAAGCGGCTCGAAATCAAGATTCTTCCTCACATTCTGCTTCGGAGAGCCTGGCTTGCTAGCTCGTCCAGCCTTGTCTTCACATTCCTAGGACAAAGACACCAGGGGTAACTCCGGGCCTGGCCAACTCGGATAATATGAAGCCCTTCTGAAAGCAGGAAGGTTTTTTGTTATGAAGTCCTTTAAGTTGATTTTGAATATCTGCTATTCAGAAGGAAAAACCGGCCCTCACTTTATAGTACAAGGACTGGGGACTTCTCTTACTGGTGGGGAAGTCACTAAGGATCTCACCCCAGTGCCCCTTTAGAAGGACCCACAAACATCGTCTCAGGTCTCCTGTGCTTCTCCTGGGTCAGGGGACTGTTTTCTGGACACTGTAAATTTTAACTGATTATTACAATGGCCACTCGGAAGCTCTGAGCCTAATCAACAGCCAATTTCAGCATTCACCGGATCCCCTGGCTTCATCTCATATACCCACTCCCTTCCTAAATTTCTAATCCATTTCCTTTTATCCCATGGCATTTTATATATTTTTTGTTAGCCCTTTAAATCTTTCCTAAAATGTAGAATGGGTTAAAAATATTTTACATAAAGATGGTTAAAACTGTTTCATTTTCTTAAACCAGAAAGATCAAAAAAGAAATCTTGAACACCTTTGTATGAAGCCATCACTGTGATTGTTCCATAAACAGCTGTGCCATGTCCTGGAACTCTAAGAGCAGCCTCCACGCCACCAAGTCACTGTCCCATGGATTGCAACCACGGAAGCTCTGTCACGCCTGGTGGCCCACATTCCAAACACCCAACCAGCCAGAGTTCAGGAGAGCCAAGCAAGCTAGCACCACAGAGTCCAGCTTCTGAAATTGTGTGTGTGTGTGAGCTTGCGTGTACTCTTAGCCCTCCGCAAATTAAAAGGAAAACCAGCATTTTCTCTTTGCCATATAGTCAGGGCTCTCGGGACACTCCATTAACAGAAGACAATCTAGCTGGGGAGACGGGACACAGGAGTAAGTAGTAAACTTAAATAACCATTCTGAACAACAGAAGCAGTATCATGAGTGGAAAGTGATTAATTACTAAATGAATTGTATTGACATTAGCTGCCAAGAAGGGTGTTACTGGTAAAATGACGTGACAAGCAATTCTTCTCAGCCAGAAAAGCCTGTAGAGGCTTCTGAACGTGAAAAGGATCTCTGAGTACACAGGCCGTGAGAGGGGAGTGCGTCCAGGAGCACGGGGGACGGGGGCTCTGCACATCTGGGTGGACGAGGTTAGCTGTCCTAACACTGTGTGTCCAGACTGAACGTGGTTCCATTAAAATACGAAAATGACCTCCGCTTACCAAAAGCTGAGAAAATGGTGCTCAGCTGCCACTTACGGCACCAGCCACCAGAAGCTTCAAACCCAGTGCCTGGATGTCAAAATATTGAATTTTCTAGGAAACCCACCAAAAGCTGTGTGGTGAGAGAGTCTGAGATGTGCTGCACTTTTGACAAGAATCAGTAGTGATGTCCCGTAAGGAAGGTGCTGCTCACCTGCCGACCCTGGTCTGGTGGACTCTTCGCCAAGGCCAAAGACGCGAGCCCAGCAGTCAGGCCCAGCGTCTGGGTGCTCACCGCCATTCGCTTCGTGCGCTTCCCACACGTTCTCTCACTTTACGTCCACGACAAGCTCTACAGCAAGTGTCGCCCCATTTTACAGACTCAGGCGGCAACTGCAGTTCACAGTGGCCTGCCCTCAATCACACAGCCTGGGGTCGGGGTGGGGAGCCCGGGGCGCTGAGCCTGCAGGGCTCCCCTCTCTGCCCCTGAGCAGGCCCCACCTCCTCTGTGAACACACTCTGAACAAAGAGGGGTGTAGCTTTAGAGGGAAAAGGCCGAGGCCCACATGGGTTAAGTGCAGCCTCTAGAGCCAGGCAGGACAGGGAGCCAAATTCAGATCCACCAAGAACTACTGTGACCTCCAGCACAGCCCTTAGAATCCCTGAGCCTCATCCCCACATCTGCAAAAAGGGGACCAGTGCCTACCAGGGAGGGCTAAGGGACGGGAGAGGCTTGTGAAGCGGTGAGCACAGCCTCCGGCGCAGAGGGAGTGTGCCCCGGCCTGCCGGCCACCACGCTCCTTTTCCTCAGGTTGTCACAACTGTAAAGGCAGAAAAAGTGCTCCAGGACCCAACAACCACCAAGGAGCCCCGCAAAATCTGCAAACAGCACATGTGTGAAAAGGAGGAGTAAAATGAAGTAAAGACCTTGACTCGTGACCCAGAAACACCAGCTCTCTGCAGCAGAGCTCAGAAGCTCCCTGACTAACAGGGAGCAGTCACAGCAGCCGGGGTAATGGGCCAAGCACTATGCAAGGGCTCCGGACACGGAGCTGGCCCCATTCGCCCTTCGCACTAGCCCTCGAAGGGAGCTATCGTCCCCATGTCACAGATGAGAAGGCAGAGGCCCAGAGATGTCCATGCCGCCCAGCTAGGGAGCTGGGATCAGAGCCAAGCATTCTGCCTCTGCAGCCCCATTTCTTAGCAGAATTCACGCTCTCCAGAATTCACACAAGCCACTCGCAGACGCGATTCACAGGTAACTTCATCATTCACACTCAGTCTACGCCACGCCTGTCAACTCTGTCAGAACCTGTAATATCGACCTCAGTGCAGATGCAGGGCAAACACTGCCGATTTCGTCACTCGGAACACTGCCTGATTAAAAAGAAAACAAACACAGGAGGGCTGGCCTGCACTGTCCGGATCCCAAATCCCAGGCAAAGCCTTTTTCCAATTCTAAGCAGCACTTCCGAATATGAATGGCACTGGAAATTGTTCCAGGTTCTGCTCCAAATCTAGTCCTCCCATAGCTACCTAGAGGTGTCAACAGTGAGCTCATTTTCCAAACCAGACAAACCAACGTTAGAAACAAGAGGAGGACTATTCACTCTAAGGATCCTTGGATCCTGGGGTGGGGTGGGGGCGCTGCAGCAGCAGATGAAACATCCCTGCAAAAGCAACTTGCAGCTGTGAATCAGCAACGTTGGGATCAGCCTGTGACGTGGCGCGAGCCGGGCCTTCGGAAACAACAAGACTTAGCTCTAAGTCCTGGCTCTTATCGTAGGCAAATCATCTCGCTTCTGTCTCGGCCTCAGTTTCCTCATCTGAAATGGTAGCAACTGTGATGAGATGACACAGGTTAATGGCCGCCCACTACGGTAGGAGCCCTTTCTGTGAGCCAAATGTCAGGACAGGCCCAGCCTCAGAGTTTCTTCTCTCTCGGAACCCTTATGGGATCAAGTTTTGAGAGACAATGCTATCCATTGTTGAGCTCATCAGCAGCCCTGCGGGCTCATCAGTATAAATCACCCATTCAAGCGACTGCCATGGATTCTTAGGTCCTGTATAGCCCAAGAAGGAAATTAGAACAGGGGTCTTCAAAGTTCTAGTGGCAAATCAGTTTAAGTGGTCACACCAGCATTAAAAAAACAAAAAACAATAAAAAATATCAGAGTGCACATAGGCCAGTTTGTTTCAGTTCTATATTGAGCTTTATCTAGTGCTGTAGCTCAAATTATCTAACGGGTGGGGAGGTGTCATGTCAAAACTTTGCAAGCCATTAATCTAGAAGCATCTAGGTCCAAGTCCCTGCCCTGAGTATTTCATCATGTATCCTGCTGGGAAGACAAGAGCAACACCAATGAGAGAGCTGCAAACAAAGAGCTGCACCTAAGCAGGGGCTAAGTCAGCGGTTCTCAACCTTCCTAATGCCGCGACCCCTGAATACAATTTCTCATGTTGTGGTGACCCCCAACCATACAATTATTTTCGTTGCTACTCTATAACTGTAATTTTGCTACTGTTATGAATCGTAATGTAAATATCTTTTTGTTTTCCGATGGTCTTATGAGACCCCTGTGAAAGGGTTGTTCGACCCCCAAAGGGGTCGCGACCCACAGGTTGAGAACCCCTGGGCTAAGTGGTGGGGTGTGGTCTGATGAACCAGCAAAGGGCCGGGACAAAAGCGTAATCAGGGTGAATGAGCAGGCCCTCAGCTCCACGGGGGGCCGTGCAGGAGGAGGAGGAGCTCCAGAAGGACTTCATTTGTGAAGGACCATGAGGCCCAGCATTTCAGGAGAGCTGCGGACCCCATCCTTGAAGGGCTCCCTCTAGTAGGGGCAAGTAAGGTGGCATCACCCAGGGTAGGTAACGCAAACTGCCAGGAGAGGGTAGGCCACCTGCTGTGGGAGCCCAAGGACAGGATGCCTGGGGCTGGAAGGATCCAGGGAAGCGTCCCATAAAGGGTGCCACCTAAGTGGACAAAGGACAACGGAGATCTGGGCCGTGAGAGAGAGGTATCCCGACAGCAAAAGCAGCGGCCAAGAGATACACATAAGCAGCTTATTCATGGGTTAGCAGGAGCACCTCACACAGGGAGTGATACTGAATCGAAGTTGTTTTGCTCTAGATTTTAAAGTTTCGGCAATAAGCCACCTAGAGCTGGTGGGACAAGCAGAGGCGCGGAGGGACAAGGGAAGAGCTGGACTTGGGGCAGAGCCAAAAAGGCAACTGTGAGGAAGGGTGAGCCTGCTAGATGCAGCCCATGGCAGGGCCTACCCACACCATGAGTCCGATCTGAGCACCTACAGGCTAGGACAAGGGCATTAGACCTGAATTAAGTGTATGATTCGCCCATTAAAAGAGAAAAACCTACTTCAACAGACATCTGTTTTAAGAGAAGGAAGAAAAGATCAAGAGTGTCAAACAATGAGAAGCACGTATTCCTGTAGGATGACAGGCGGCTGGTCAGCACTCCCTGCAGACCTGGAGGGTGCTGTGAAGACAGCTCATTATGCTAACACTCTGGCCAGTAGAAGTCCCCTGGCTTCCTGGAAAGCCACATTAGCTAGAAGGAGAGAGGGTCCTCAGTCAAAACCTGGGCTTACGTCTCTGACTCAGCTGTACACGAGTATCAAGATTAGCCTTTAACAATCACCACTGAAGGTTTTGGAGGTATGTCTGGAATAAAGCATAGCAGATCACCACATGCACCTATTAAAAGACTGACAGGAACTGACAACAATGACAACACAGCAAGCAC